AGGTTTCATTTATCTGCATCATGAGTGTGGCTGACTCCTACCTGCTGCTCAAGTCCTGTGTTCATTTGCAGCTTTGCTTTCTGACTGGCTTCAGGCAAGTGAGTGTAGAGATGAGCAATAAGATATGTTCTGGAGGACAACTGATGGGGACTTGCCTTTGACATAGTCCTCCCAATGCACCATTTTCTCCAAGTAGCTAAATTAATTCTGCTAGGTAATGTAAAAATGCATTTCATTCTTCCCATTGGTCTGATAGGACTCAGTCCAGCTGAGTACAGCATAGATTTTGAAAAGCTTTCTAGAGTGCCCTTGTCCTACCAGGTGAGGCTTTTATTAAAAAATCTCACTTTATACAAAAATACTTTACAATTCTATTGGAAGCTGTCTCAGAGCAGTTATGAACTACATCAGACACATATTACAGCAAGTCTTTGTGCTTCCAGTTTGTGTTTACTAAAACAATTTCCTTGAGGTGGTTTGAGGTCTGATTAGTACTGGATGTTTGATAGATACTGGGTCGTCAGGATGGTGTTCAGCAAGACTGGGTGATTGATGACTGCATTGGCAACTGGTGGAGACCAAACTTTGAACCTCCCCAGGTGAGTACTCCTGTGGGCTTCCATCTCCTTTGCTCAAGTTCTGTCTGTACTTTTAAAACCCTTCAGCCTTTCACATGGACTTCTTGAGTACCTGCTGCACGAGCAGTTAGATTTTTTGGGTTTTGTCTATTTCATCTCCTTTCTGTCACTGAAGAGAAACTACTGACTTTTTTAAACTGGAAACTCCTGCCTCCCTTCTCACACCTATCCAGATGGACGAGAAACCACTGGATGTAGTAGCTTCCAGTTCTATGCTGAGACATATGCACCATTTAAATTCCTTTTGTAGCCACAATGGAGACTCTGGCACTGCTTATGGAACAGCTGCCCTAGTCTCATTACCCTGTTCCTAAGGGCTTTAATATTGAAGATCCTTGCTTAGTTTGTTTTCATGCATTTCTATTTTATTGAGTTGTTTTAACTGCTTGTGATATTGGTGCCACTTCAGAGCCTGTCAATAGTTGTGACAGCAACAGCATTTCTTTCTAAAATACTTTCTTAGGAAAATGGTTTTCTTTATTTGATGCCATGAAAGAACAATATATGACACACTGAAAGCTTGTACAGGGCTTGATAATTTATTTACTTAAGATTACACAATATTTTCAAAGCTCTGTACAACTGATTTTTGCCATTTTTCTTCTAGTACCCATATATCCCAGCTCATATTACAAAGCCAAAAGAACACAAAAAGCTTTTTTTGGTCCAGCTTCAAGAAAAAGGTAAGTGTTGATTTGCATGAAAGGATTGTATTTGTAACCATGTTTAAATGCTTGCATTTCACTCAAGGAAAACAAAGTTGTGATTGTGTTTGTTATGTATTTTATACCAAGATGTGTATGCTTGCAGTTGTTTGTGGTTGATCACTAACAAAGTTAGATGCTGGTATCTGTTTTGAAGGTAGATGATCCTTTGAACATGAGTTCCTAGTAAATTTTCATTCCTGCTCCTGCATCAGTCTGTGCACAGCATGTGAATCCCACATTTAACTAGAAAAGCAATAAACCAGCTTGAGTGCTCCATGTAGTGAGCTTGTTTTGAGGTCTGTGGGGGATGATGTTACCTTGGCTGAATGTGTGCTGGTTTTTCTGATTCATCAACTTGTATTTGTTTGTAGCTTTGTTTGCAGTCCCCAAAAATTACAAGCTGGTTGCTGCACCATTGTTTGAGCTCTATGACAATGCACCAGGATATGGCCCTATTATTTCCAGCCTTCCTCAGCTTTTGAGCAGGTATGTTGTATTTGTGTGGTGGTTCTTGGGAACACGTTTGCTGTGGGACACCAGAGCAAGGCAAGGTGCTGCAGAATCCAACTTGAAAAGGTGACATCTGTCCCAAAGATTCTGCTTCAGATGAGCTGGATGGACACTTTGGAGGCACTGATCACAGCTGGCCAGCACCAAAGTCCTACCTAGCAGTTGTAGCTAAGGAAGATGTGGAAGACAGTGAGGATGAGGTTGTGCACAGACTGAGGAACAGCTTCTTGGAGCTGTTGGGGAGTTAAAGCCAGGATGTGAGTTTGAAGCACTGAGGGTATGCATGTTATCACAGCTTTGTGCTGATAAATGTGGTGGGTTTTTACACTCTCTAGTGGAGTTAATGAAGTGCAGCATCTTTCTGACACAAATATCTGTAGGGACAGCTGTATTTTTTCCTTTATGTTCCATTGTATACGTGCCTTGACTTTCTCTCCTGGAAATGACTTGTGGCTCGTCTCTCCAGAGCTCACTGTTCCCACTGGTCTCTTACTTGAGAGAATGTTCAGCCATGCCAGGAGTTCCACAGCCTGCCAGCTCTTCCTCAGGGAAGTAGTTCTGTCACCTACCTACTATGATGAGAAATGTTAGCACTGGTGTTGCCCATAATATTCTTGTTTCCTGCTCAGTATTTTTCTCTCTAGCCCAAATTTTGGGTTCCCCTCCTCTAAAGACAGCAGGTACTTTGCTCTTGAGTACCAGCAAAACACTGTCTGGTTGGGTAGTGGTGCAACAGACACATCCAAAGGCTGGGCATCTGCAAGCTGAGATGGATGCTTGCCTCCACATTTACTTATGAAACTTAGCTGGGAAAAATTCTCTCTTCACTATGTCTCTATGCTCCCCTTGGAACATGTAAGGTTGGCCTAGCAGCAGAAATCCTGCAGAAGAGTTGCTGATGGAGGAATGTAGCTCTCACTGTGATTTATGTATCTATGAACCTGTTTTAGGAGATCAAATGTTAATAATTAGTTCTTCTGCAACCATAAGAGACAGTTGTGCAATGCTAGAGTAGGATTGGCTGTTAAAAATTATGTATATACTGCTGTACTGTAAAGCTGTCTTATTAAAAAATGTACTTTTGTCCTGTCAGGTGGAGGCTTATCCAGAGCAGAAACAAAACATTTGCTTATTCATTCAAAAATGTCCTTAAAAAAAAGAATGAAAAGTCCTCACTTGGTATAATCCTTTTAATTTTAGGTTCAACTTTATTTACAACTGAATTCCCATGTACCTGAAGACTCCAGTAGAAGAAGCAGTCTCTGTGAGCACAGCTTTGAACTGTAGAGACACGAATATGTGTGACACAAGGATTTTTTTAAGTCATTCTGTTCCTGAAGGCCACTAAACATTCTGTGGTATGAACAGAGAAGTGAATCTCAACTGTTTAGCTAGAGAGATGGCAATGGGCTACCAGTGTTATAATCCCTTTTCATTGTAATACTCACCAATTTTTTGTTTTGTACAACATTAAACAATATGGTTAAGATTCTGTTTGTCTTGGGTTTGGTTTGGTTTTTGTTGTTGTTTTGTTTTGTTGTGGTTTTTTTTTAGGTTTTTTAAGTTCTTTTTTTCCCCTCCTGTTTGTTAGTTTTTTTTATTTTTCCTTATTGTCTCTTTTACTTTTGGATGCATATTTTAAACTTTATTACTGTTCTTCAGGAATACAGATGATCTTGGAAATGAAGAGCTAAGCCATTCAGGGCCCATTCAGACGCTGTGATCTTTATCCCTGAGCAGTGAATATCCCTAGGATCAGGGAGGAATGAAATAGCTTAAGTGGGTTCAATATTGTTTTGAGTCTTAATTAACTTGGAGACCAGAACTGCTTTTTTGAGGGAGAATGAGTACTTAAAGGCAAATGTAGTCTTTACCCTTATTACCAGAACTGATCTGTTTGTACAGGGCTTGGAGGAGATGCAGCATGCATCTGTTCCATCAGTGCCCCCTTAAGACAGTAACAACCCCAAAAATTCTGTTGGACTGGTCTGAGATACAGTTAAAATAGGGAAAGTGAAGTTAATTTTGTGTATTTTTCCTTAGCTATGGGACAGAGTTTGAGTCATGCTGAAACACTTAGCCAATGCCACATGCAAGTAGTTCCATGTTACACTGTCCTGTGCTGTCTCATCCTGCAAGGGATACCCACACTTCTGCTTTTTCCCAACATTTCAGTTTCTTGTAGGTAGTAAATATCAATCTTTCTAATTCTGGGGTTTCTATATGCTTGGCTAAACATAAAGTCTAGTTGGATGTGACACTTCCCAATGCTTTTAGTCTTCCATGATTTTGCTTAATGAGTCTTTAAAAGCTTTGTTTCCAAGTTCTGCCTCTGATCAGAAGATGCACTGTTGCTTGTGCACTGTCCTTTTATGAAGGCAGGGTTTGAGAGTGCCAGCTGCCAAGAGAACTGAGTCTTGCCAAAGTGCTTGGCTCTGCTGCCATCTGCACTGGGAAGCAGTGTACAGAACAATCCTGACAGCTCGGTGCTCTGGTCAAATTGAAGCTGTGCAGTATGGCAAATGTACTGCAAAATGCTGGGAAAGGTAGCGCAAGGGCTGTTTGCTTTGGTCCTGTGGATGGAAGGCCCAGACAGATGGTGAGTAGAATGTATGGTTTCTTAGCTGCCAGCAAGGGGAAATAAAGCTAGCAGGGCAGTGCAAAACAGAACCCTTTTTGCCCGTGGAAGTAAGGAAGGGCAGATGGAAGACTGGAAGTCAAGTTCTGCAAGAACAAGGAGCAGAGTGCACCTTTTGAGCCCTGGCACTTCAGAGCACCTCTCACCCAACTCCTCGGCAGTTTGAGACTAATTCTTGTTCCAGGCTGCCTGTGGAAGGGCGCTGCTCCTGCAGTCTCTGGGCGCTCTCCTCTGCCACCGTGCCTGTGGCTCTGGGGGCTCCCGGAGGCCCCTCCAGTTCCCCCCGCGCGGCTCCGGCGGTGCGGCCGCTGTCCCGGGCGGGGGGGGTGCGGGGCAGGGCTGGGCCGGTGGAAGCGCCGCCCCGGCCGTGACTCAGCGCGCGGGGTGACGGGCGGACGCGGCGCCCGGAGCCGGGGCGGGGGGTTCCGGCCCGGTCTCTTTCCTTTCTCCAGCGGGGGCGGCTCGCCCGGCCCCGGGGAGGGGCGGCGGGGCGGGCGTTAAGCCGGGGGAGCGCGCCGAGCCGGGGCCGGGCGGTGGCGAGGGCTCCGCGATGCCGCTGCTGTTCCTGGAGCGCTTCCCCTGGCCCAGCCTCCGCACCTACACGGCGCTCAGCGCCCTGGCGCTGCTGGGCGCCGGCCTCAGCGCCTACCGCGCGCTGAGCCAGGCGCCCTGCGGGGCGGCGGGCACCGAGCCGGCCGAGCCTCAGCGCTGCGCCGGCCCGCGGGCCCTGGACGTCGCCTACTACCTGCTCTCGGACAGCCTCTGCGTCTGGGTGAGCCCGGGGCGGCGGCGGGGCCTGCGCGCCCGCGGCCTGCGGGGCTGGCAGCGGGATCGGCCTCTCCGGCACCTCCCCGCGGCCGGGGGGCGGTGGGCGGCTCCGGGGGGTGTTTCGTTATTGTTGTTTGAAAACTGCTCGCGGAACGAAGAGGGGGCTCGGCTGGGTTTTCCCTGCCCGCCCTGGGCCGCCTCCGCAGCCGCTTCCCTTCCTGCCTGGCCGGGCGGCGGGGCAGCGTTAGAGCCGAGCGCCCGGAGTTCAGCCCGCGGCTCGTGCTCCTTTCTCTCCCCGAGCGCCCCCCGCTCGTCCTGCCCGGGCCTTTGGCAGAAGCTGTTTGGGGGCGTTTGCCGCGGACCCGGGCGCTTGCTGGGCTTAGCTTCGCCAAGCACTCCCCGACCTGCTCTGCCAAAAATCTGAGTAAGGGGCTGTCCGGTATTCGAGCCCAAGCCTTGCTGCCTTTATTTATTTTTTTTAAATAGCACTGAAAGTCTTGTAGGTAAGAGGAAACATTCTCACCATTTAAGGAAAAAAAATTAATTTTCTGTACCTTTTAAAACCCAAACCTCATAATGGTTTCTGAATTTTGGCTCACTGATTTGTAGTTGAAATAAAGGCTCAACAAGGGGTTATTGGATACCTTGCTGAGCTGTTGCTGTTGAACTTTTCTGTCTGTCACTCAAAGGTGGCAGTAGTTGGACATCTGCTTCACAACATTCTTGCTTGACTGAGGTGCTGTATTTTAATATACCAGACATATTCATCCTATTGAAACTGGGTCTCACAGCCTTAAGAATCCTGGAGAAGTTATGTCCTTTGGAAATGACGGGGCAAAGCTTCTCCATCATCTACCTTTTTAGTGTCCTGCTAAGGTCAAAAGTTAATTACAAGTGCCTTTGCCAAATGTGAGATGTTTTCCCAAACCCATGTCTTCTGCTTCTTGCTACTTTGCTGTGAAGAAGTTTCCCAAGAAAGCCTCAAGAAATGTTTTTACTGAAGGGTTGTGTGCTATTCAGCATGTTTTGAGGCAACCTCTGAATCCTCTTACTGTAACAACAGATTCAAACTGGATTTTTATTATCTGCCATATGTTAAACAAAATTACCATCTTGGTGATCTGTAAGTTTTGTCCTCACATTCTTTTATGAAATTTGTTAGTCTGTATGAAATAATTTATTGTGAAGAGGTAGAGCAGTTTGTTGGCTTTACTGCTGTATCAAACTGTGTTAGTATTTCTATAAAAAAAACAAGCTAAGACTTATCAGCTACTTCATGTGTCTTGAAAGAGGCCAGGCTTAAATTTCATCAAAAGAAAAGGCAACTAATACTGTTCTGTGAACAATGGCAGGTTTTGTTAGACTCCCCTTCTCTCCCTTCTTCTAAATAGGGCAAAAGTATTTGTCACTGACTGCTTTATTTCTTTCCAGGTACTAGTGAACACTGCCTGCTGTTTTCTGATGCTGGTTGCTAAGCTAATCCAGTATATGGTGTTTGGTCCTCTTCGTGTCAGTGAGAGGCAGGTGAGACAGCAAACAAGGAAACTGTAAAACATGACAAATGGTGTGATTTTCTGTGTGGAATTGCTGAAAGTGCACAAGAAAAATAAATTTACAATATATGTCTTACCATTTGGTTAGCTAGTATATCCACAGCCACAAGCTTCTGCTTTATTTTGAAGGGAATTTTTCCTATTGTATTTTATAAGCCCACAGTCAACTTGAAAATCCTGTGTCTTTAATGAACTCTGTTAGATTTCTTACAAGCATGCCTCACTTCAAAACTCTTGCAACGTGTTCTTCTCCATCCTGCCTGCACCTGGCAGCATTTCTCCATTGCTTTTTGTAGTTGTCAGCACTGGCAGTTTTGAGTTCTCTCTTCTTTTGTACCTTGACTGCTGGAGAAGTGCTTTCCATTTTCATACACTGAGTGAATGGTTCATCATTGCTGGTTTAAGAGGGAGTAGGCAAGAAAATCCCCAGAGAAAGGAGGTGAGCAGGAAAGAAAACTGAGGCTGTTCAGTCCTGCTCTTGTCTATGTGAGAATGGTTGTGAAAATTCAGCAAAGGAGCTATGAAAGCCCAGAGTTTTTAAAAACAGGATCCTGCAGAAGATGAAGGCAGCAGCAGGACCTTGAATAGTATCTCTATATATTTTTTTTAAAAAGTAAGGCAAATGCATAAGTTGCTTGTGTAAATGCAGGAGCAGTGGTTTGGAGTGTGTTCACATATTAAAATAAAAGTCTGTAGAAAGAGTTCTTTAGGAGGAATCAGGCCATGATGATTTTTGACATGCAGAACTGAGGCACACAAAGCCTCATTAATAACTGTGCAGCTCTCAAAGCCTATTGTGTTTGTAATTCATACCTTGTAGAGGCTCTAAGTGTATTAAAACCAAGACACTACCAAACTGCAGTGGGCCAGATTTTCTCTCCAGTCCATGTTGACTATAAGGAATTTTAACTGGTGATGGTTTCCAGGATGTTCTCTGCCCTCTTAAAAACTGAAGTGCAAAGCAGTAGCAGTGTGGATCCACTTGTGTTTGGTCAGTGGGAGTTTGCCTCAGTTGTCATGTAAAGGAAAGCTGCTTATTAATACTGGCGAGCCCAAAACAGCAGCATCATTAAGGAATTCAGGGCCTGTCTTAACTAAACTCCTGGTGATTTCATTGTGTACTTTAACAAAACATTTTGTTTCATAAATTTTTAATCCCCTCCAAGCTGGCTTGCTGTCTGCTGCTTGAGAACATCATATTATTTCTTCCGTACTTTGTGTGTGTGGGAATGGTTTTATTTTCATTGCTCATCCATCTCACTCTCTACTGTAGGCATTGTGATTCTTAACCATAGACTTCATCATCTTTTCTTAATCATCTGTACTTTTTGGCAGGTTTTTGGAAGCAAGGTGCTAGGCAGTTTGGGCATCTTGAATAACTAACTGTGGCAGCTCTTCCAGCAGAGAGGACTCTGTGTTTGCAGCCTGGTAGCTGAGTTGCTTGGGCATGAAGAATCAGACTAAGATCAGACTTGCTTTATGCTGGGCACTGTTTGCGGAATATAGCAGGAAACTGCATTGTGTGCTGTGTAGCACAGTTATGCTGCCATGGTACAAGAAACTAGACAGGCAGTAAGGTCTGCTGGTATTTTTAATATGTTTCTTACTTGAGTCTCTTCCATTACAGCATCTCAAGGATAAATTCTGGAATTTCATTTTCTACAAATTTATCTTCATTTTTGGTGTGCTGAATGTTCAGACGGTGGAAGAAGTTGTGATGTGGTGCCTCTGGTTCTCTGGACTTGTGTTTCTCCATCTGATGGTTCAGCTCTGCAAGGATCGCTTTGAATATGTAAGTTTTGATTAAGGGCTGTCTTTTGGGGCATGCAAATTCTGTTTCTGGCTCAGGCAGTGGCTCAGATAAGGTACAAACAGATCATTTAGACCTTTTCCACACCCTGCGGTGCTGAACACGTGCACGTCCCATTAGCTTCAAATACTTGCTTAAAGTACAATGTCAATCTTACTCCTTCAGTTTTCCCATGAGACAAATGGAGCTGAAGATACTTATTTTCTGTAATAAGTTGCTCCTTATATGTGCCCTGTAATTACTGTTACATAACTGGATGAGATGGCTTCATAGCTCTCCTTAGTAAAGACATCTTAACAACAGAGCATCCCTAGATTGGTGCCCTTTAGGACTGGCCTGTGGAGCCTGCTTCTGCAGAATCTGTGCTCAGGTTTCACACTCACTTAGATATACTGAATTTTGACTGCCAGTGTCTTTACAATATACTGTGCAATTTTCTCTCTAAGGTACATTCCACTTTCTGTTAATACCAGGAATAAATTAGGTAAAAATGCAGAAAATGAAGGCTAGGCAAGAAAGAAGAAACTGTAATTTAAACAGTAAGTCTTGGCCTTTTACTAAAATGGGCCTGCATTTTCCCAGGCTCCTCTCTCCTGGCATAGAAGTTTTACCTGAATTGAATCCATGATTTTTCTTTTTGGTAGCTCTGGGCTTTGCAGGGTTTTTTTAAATAATGTCCAGTAAGGCCTGTTAATTCACGGGTAGCTAAGCACTTAAATTTGAAACTGCATTGGCTAGGGTTAGGAAAATCAAGACAGCAGTGAGCAAGGCAGTCATCTGGTATTTTTAGTGTTGTTCAGAAAGCTGTGAAAGAATACAGGTCACGTGGGAAGAAATGCTTATTATATTATTTTTGCATTCAAAGCATGCATACTTGTTTTTTGCTTGGACAAATGATACAGGATTTGCCTTGTGAAGATGGGGCACATGGAGCTGAACCAGATACAAAGAATTAAGAGAGAACCCATTTAAAAACAAAACATGGGAATCAACTTTGTAAATCAGATCAGAGTGAAGCTTTGGGCAACTCCTTCTTTCCTTGTCCTGTTCTTTCTCATCCTGCCCTGGAGAAAAGAGGATGGACCAGCAATCCACTTGGGTTGCCTTTGATTTAGACAGACCAGGTGTAGCCCTCTGTTAAGATAGTTTAGACATTTAGCACACTTTGCATGCTATTGAATGAGACAACTTTTTTCAGCAGTCTCTAGCTGCAGCTTAAATGTTTTTTTTTTTGGGTAGACATCTTTTTCTTCCAGAAGGAATTGACAGTGGAAGGAGTATGGGATGGAAGACCAAGCTGGATAAATTCAGATCAGCTGTTTGGTGAAAAATTGGCAAAACATTGCTTGAAGACTGTGTGTTAGGTTAGGTGTCTTTGTAAAATGCATATAAATCCAAAGCAGATGCTGTGGATTTGGTGCAGAAACTACTGTGTCTCTGGTTTTCTTGCACAGGTGATTTAAATAGCTCAAATAATCATGGTAATTGTAAATAAAAAAATAGTAACTGATTGTTAAAATGTGACTGTAAATGACAGTAACATGAATGAGTCTTTGGGATAGTGTGCGAGTTTAGCTTTATTCTTCATAATTTATTACAATATTGCATTGTGAAATTGGTTTTATGCTAGAAAGCAAAAGATTTTCCTGAATGAAGTCTTGCTTGGTGAGGTGACAATTGAAGGCAGGATTGATGAAGTACTCATTTAAACTGTCACATATTTATGGATTTGTGTTGCAGCTTTCCTTTTCTCCTACCACACCCATGAGCAGCCACGTCAGAGTGCTGGCCCTGCTCATAGCCATGCTCCTGTCCTGCTGTGGATTAGCAGTTGTCTGTGGAGTTGTTGGCTACACCCATGGCATGCACACCTTGGCTTTCATGGCAGCAGAGGTGAGACTTCTTCATGTGTGTTGTGGGTTCTGCTTTGCCTTTGACCCCTCACTTGGGGGTGTCCTGGTACAGGACGGATTTGCTTCAACACTTTTAATTCCCATAAGAAAGAAACTTTGAAGACACAAACAAATCCTCCCCTGTTTTCCAGAAGTTGCCAGATTGGCATGCTTTCTCTCTTTAGCCTTTAACCCTGAAAAAAATCTTAGTGTGAGGAAGAGAATGAGATGGTAGATATGCAAGGTGATCCTGGAATCAAATGACAGCTTATGAAAAAAGTAATGATTGTGCTTCATGAGCATTGTGAGAAGGGTCGGTGAAACAGCACCTGAGAGATGGAGAGAGTGTGCATGAAAGTTAATGTGCACTTCAGCCTCTTTCTCTGAAGTTGTATTTTCTATTTCATTTCTCCCCAAAAGGAGTGAGACATCCTTTCCTTAAGGCACACTCATGGCTTTTGCTTATGTTTGTGTAATGAGTTGTGTCTCAGCTGAGATGAGCAAAGCATTTTTGTGCACTCCTGAACACTTTGCACTGTGGACTCAACATCAGTACGTTTGTGGAGTGAGCAGCAGTAAGTTTTTGATGTTGTGGTGGGTTGTTGCACTCTGCCTAAGGAAGTGATAATCTTTAACAATGGAGAGGAATCCAATCCAAGTATGTTGTGTTAGCACATTGTTAGTTCAGATAACAAATAACATCTACAATTTATTTTTCTTCTCCTATCTTGAATTCATACTTGGAGCTAGGGAGCTGGAAGGAAAACAACTGATAGTGAGAGAATATGATGCTTGTCACACCACAGTTCAGTTATCAATATGTCTCTTTATTTTTCTATGAATATGAGAATGTGCAAGACCAGATTTGTAATGAAACAGTGGAAGGGTATTGGAAGATTTAACAGTGTCTCTGAAAGGTGGGGTCTCTTTGGTGTCATGTCTCTTATCTTGGCTTGGCAGAAGGATTATCAGCATTGCACCAGCTCAGGGTAGGTTAATCAGGGAGTGCTGTGGAGCCTGTGTTGCCTCCTCAGAGCTGTGCTGTGTGGTAGTGTGGGTGTTTGGGGTTGCAGGATGGGGCCCATTGTTCATTTCAGTGGAGCTGTTCTGTGTGCTGATTAACAAAGGAGTGACTCAGTCAGTGGAAGTGTGGGGAATGCAGAAGGAAGGGTCTCCTAGCTGTGACTGCAGCCACTGGTGTTTGAGAACATTCCTGAGCTGAGGGCTGTACAAACCCATTGTGTTTGATAGTCCCAGAGGTACTCTGGAAAGTTGTATGATCATTCATTGAACTTGTTTGTATGTCAGCCTCTGTAATATCCAAAGGCAACAAATTCCACATTAACTTGGCTTTCTGTACATGAAAGATGTCCTCTTTGAGTTGTTCTGAATCTTGTGTTTGATAATCACAGAATGATTTTGGTTGGAAGGGATCTTAAAGATCATCTAGTTCCAGCCCCCCTGCCATGGGCAGGGAATGTTTAATTTTTTTCACAGAATTTGTGATTTTATCATCTTTTTGCCTGTTCTTGACTGCCTTTCCTTCTAAGCAAAAGAATTCTAGTCTGTTTAATCTTTTCTCGTAGGAGATTGTATAATATCTTGCCATTTTGGAACATTTTTAATGTTCCCTGTATGGATTGGGCAACCATGAGCAATTTCCTTGATTTTAATACCCAGAACTTATGTGAGTGAAATAAAATATTTAGGTTTCTTTCTGTACAAGTACTGGCAGTGACATCTCATAGCAGACTTCAAGCTCTTAGTAAAAAACAATAAATCTTTGAGGCCGAAATGTTTTTCTGGTGGTGGCTTGTGTGATCTTCCTCAAGAGGGACCCTGCCAAGTGTATTCCATTAGTGTGAATGAATTACATTAAGTTACATTAAGCTATTAATCTCTCTTCTGCAAACATTGATTTAGCTCAGGGTTTTCAATAAAGCAATGTAGATGTTCTTCTTGTGTTTTAGGTAACTTCCCCTTGTTCTCTGTTTCTTGTCAGCATTTTCTTTGCTGCAGAGGGTGAATGTGAAATGTGCAAATGCCCCAAGAAAGCCGAGTAGGGACTTGCCTGTATTTTTGAGTAAACATTAATCTTTTTTGCCTTAATATATGGTGTTCAAGAATTATAGTAGAGCAAGCAGTGTCCAGTCTATCCTATCTTTGCATGGTTTTTTTTAAAGCCAGCTAGTAAACAGTTGGCAGATATGTTGGGTATTGCAGAGGGTTAAATATGCATAGAAGCACTTTAGGAATGCTTTTTTACAGATGGAAAAAATTATTCAAACTAACTGGCTTATTACTTCTTTGGGAAGTTGGTGGTTTGATAGTTCTTCTGTCCTGTTCACAGTACTTATGCAGAAGGCATGCCACCAGACCAGTTTCACAGAAGTGGTTTCAGTTGCTCATTGTAAATCCCCTGCATCTCAGTGTCACTTGGCCCCTGCTGACTGCAGGCTGGTGTGGGCAGTCTCTGGGGGAAGCATGGCTGGTGTTTTCACTGTGAGGATAGAATAAGAGATGGAGCACTGTGGGCTTGATGGATTACAGAGAGGGGATGGGGCCATCTTCTCTTAGATGATGAGAGTCCATGGAAATGTAGTTTACCTTTTTGGTGATTTGTCTTTACACTTCTGATCTTACACTTTCTGATAGACTCAGGTTTTTTTTTCTCTGTACTTAGCCTAGAAACATAAGTATGATTAAAGAGAGAAGTTATTTTAGCAGCATTTACATCTCAGCAAAGGGAGGGAATGATTTGAAATTACCTTCCTCAAATTTCTGTTATTATTCAGTTCTTCCAGTTCTTTTTTTTTTTTAAGAAGTGGGATGAGGAGACGTAGTTGGTGGGATCGTGGTCTCAACACTTGCTGGGTGATAATAATTGAAAAAAGCAATACCCCTTTTGTAGTTGGGAAAAAATGACACTTAACAACAGCAACACTAGTGGCTGCTTTAAAAGCATGGTGTCTTTGGGAACAATTTCTTTCATATTTATTTATAAGCTTCATGGTTGTCTCAGGTATATTTTGCACACAGTCACCTATAGTGACCATTGGTTCACAGGACTTGTTAAGGTGCAGTAAATGAATTTTGTGTTTTAGCCTTGAGCTCCTGCATCTGCACCACTGTCCCTGCCAGAATGTTGATAATATGCATGGTTTTTTCTTCCTCTTTTGCAGTCTCTGCTGGTGACAGTCAGAACTGCTCATGTGATTTTAAGGTAAGTTCTGTAAGTTCTGTTTTACAGGCTGTGTGTTCAGGATGGTAGTGCATACAGCATGTTTATGTAAGAGGGTAGGTAATTACCTCATTGAATTGCAGATGCACGTTTGGAGATTGAGGGCAGCCCTAAGGAGAGACCTGGGGGTGTGTTGGTAGATGGGAAGCTTGACATGGCCCAGTAATGTCAACCACATCCTGGTCTGCCTCCCCACAGTGTGGGCAGCAGTCAGGGAGGGGATTGTGCCCCTCTGCTCTGTTCTGCTGGGACTCCCCCTGGAGTGCTGCATCCACCTCTGGGGCTCCCAGCCTGAGAAGGATGTGGGCCTGCTGGAGTGAGTCTAGAAGAGTCCTTAGAGGTTTTCAGAGGAATGGAGCACCTGCCATGGAGGCAGGCTGAGAGAGCTGAGGTTGCTCAGCCTGGAGAAGAAAAGGCTCTGGTGAAACCTTAGAGCCCCATCCAGTACCTAAAGGGGCACCAAGAGAGCTGGAGAGGGACTTTGGACAAGGGCATGGTGTAAGGGAATGACTTCAAACTGACAGAGGACAAGGTTAGATTAGATACTAGGAAAAAAAAATCTTCCCTGTGGGATTGGTGAGTCACTGGCACAGTGAAGCTGTGGATGCCCCATCCTGGAAGTGGTCAGGGCCTGATTGCATGAGGCAGCCAAAGGGTTTTGGAAAGAGATGATCTTCAAGATCCCTTCAAACCCAAACTGTTGCAGGATTCTATGGGATGAGCAGAGGTGGTTAGCTTTAGTCTGTGCTGATTTTAAGCACAGGTTCTGCAATTCACTTTTTTTTGTTTTATGTAAGTGATGTGTGTGTCTTATCCTGAAGCCTTTATTTGAATAAAAGGTTGTACTGGTGTTTAAGTAGTTAGATGACAGGAACATTTTCTTTTAAAGTCAGCTAGTAAACAGTTGGCAGATATGTTGGATAGTACAAAGGATTAAATACATGTTGAAGCATTTTAAGAATGATTTTTACAGATGGAAATGCATTTTAGGAGTGCTTTTTACAGATGGAGGTTGAAATGCATGCATAGCTTTAGTGGGTGGTATAGCTTGAGGCATGGATTAAAGTGGATGAGGGTTGATAGATGCTACTTGATGTCATTCTACAAGGTTTGTTTTAAGGCCCTGTCTCTTGAAGGTTTGCTTTGACAAAGTCCCATGCATGTGTACCTGTGCCACACCTGTGTGTGCATATGTGGGACATGGTGTGTAATGCAGGAGCCTCTTTGTGCAGGTCACTGTCAGCATTTCAGCTCTGACCCTGAGCTGTAGTGACTCACCTAAGAAACACCTCACGTGCTGAAAAATGTGCTTCTGTAGTTACTATAATCCTAAGGTTGACTTCCATTACCTGAAGTAGTTTTTAGCAAATGCTGCATCTTTTCTATCAGCTGGCAGTGTCTGTAGTGCCAGTGTGGACTAAGCATTGACTGCTTTTTGCTTTTTTAAAATGTTGCTGTTTGAAACTGGTAACATTAAAAGAAGTCCTCCTTGAGTGAGCACAGGGCCTCAGAAGGGCAAAGAATCCATATCTAGAAGTTTTTTGAAAAATGGACAAAATAGTTTGAATTATAGACATGCTATTTAACAACAACAAAAAAGAATAATGTTAATTTCCTTACTCTTGCAGATATGTAGTTCATCTCTGGGATCTCAACCATGAAGGAACTTGGGAGGGCAAGGGCACTTATGTCTACTACACAGATTTTGTCATGGAGCTAACCCTGCTTTCCCTGGACTTGATGCATCATATTCATATGCTGGTATGAAATACTGGACATAATGCTGAACAAATAGACTGGCCTTAAAATAAAGGGTATTGAGTATACACATTTTATATTTTTTTTACTTTGCTTATTTTAGAAACCAGATATTACAGAGAAGTTACTTCCTCCTATGTAGTTGAAGTCATCACAAATAACTTTGTTAAGGAGTATTAACTACTGTGTGTAATTATCTGTTTAGTAGGTGTTTAATTAGCTTTTTTTATTGAGTAATACCAGACTGAATTATTTCATTGGCAGCAGGAGATGCTAAGCTGGACAGGACTGAATTCAGTTTATCCTTATTATAAATGCTGTGCTGCCAAATTTCTTTGTGAAGAGGTAGTGAGTGGTGGTACCTTTGAACATGCGTGGTTGGTCTGAATGGACCCAACAAAAGAGAAATTCTTCAGGGCTGGTTTCTTGATTTCTTTGTCTCTCAAGACCTGATGCAGCTTCTTGTTTGTAATCCCTGCTGTGTGGTTTTCCCAAGCTGTTTGGCAATATCTGGCTGTCCATGGCGAGCCTGGTGATTTTCATGCAGCTGCGTTACCTGTTCCACGAGGTGCAGCGGCGAATTCGGCGGCACAAGAACTACCTGCGTGTGGTTGGAAACATGGAGGCCAGGTCAGCCCCTTACTTGCTCTGCAATCTTGGTGTGCATCTAGTAGAGAGGATGCTGAGAAAGAAGTTGAGATTATTTTATGTTCTTTTGATACACTGTGGCATGGTGTAAGCCGGACAGATGCAATGTTCCAAACCTGACCTTAATTCTCTTGGAGTGTGTTTTTACCCATTTTATTTGTTAGTGGGGAGACTCTTTCTGGGTTTAACAAATATGTAGGATTGACTTTTATAATGGCAGCATTACTGGTAATGTATAAAGAGGCAAAAAAATGAACTCCTCTGTCCAGTGTTTCCTCTGTATTCTTTTGCATACTGCCTTTGTGGGGTGACAGTAGCCCTGAAGAGCTCTGCCTGTTTTAGCTGTCAAATACTGGCTTTGGCTGTGATAGAAATCAATGCTCTTAATTTCATTAGGCCATGCCATTCACTTACTGGCTGAAATCAAAACATTAATTAAACCCTGCCTAGCTTTACCAGTGTATTTACTAAACCTGAAGCCAACTTTTAAGACTTTACCTAAAGTGGAACTAGGAGCACTTTGGCAGTACTTTAGTTCATTCCCTTTTAGTGAGGTCATATGGAGAAATTGGGAGGCCTGCTAAATCCTGCTGCTGTAGTCCAGGTGGAGAACACTGGCTTGTCTAGAAATTCCTGAGGTTTTTTTTTTGAGAAGTTGTTTAATGGCTGTGATATTACATTAAGAGCTGCATAATAAAGTTCATCCACAATGCATTGTTTCTTTCCAGTAAGATGCAGCCACTGAACCCCTTTGAGCTGTTCACAAAGGTGTTTGAGTTGCATGTGTCACAGACTTCTTATCTGAATAACTTGATGTGTTTTGGTCATTCTGATTATGCTGGAAGAACCACGTTCTAACTTCCTTCTGAAGCTGCCATTGGCAGCTGCTGTTATGTGGTTGTTCTTCAGATACATCCACACCAGCAGTGCTGTGAAATGTTGTTACACCACTCATTTCTGTATTGTTGTGTTTGGATACTGTGTAGTAACTGCTTACACGGCACTGTAGCTTAAAAAAACAGGGAGAAAAGACAAATGGGAATGGCAAAATCTGAGGCCAAAATTAGTCACTATAAATGCTTATGATCCCAAACAGACGGCTTAATGGGTGCAGCTATTAAAACTCATTTAGAAAAATGACATAAACCAAATCTATACAGATTATAATTTAAGGATCTCAACAAAATGATCATATAATTGTCTCTTGGAAAGTACTAAGTCAAAGCTTTATGCACATAGGATGTATGAGGAGATGTTCAAAAAAGTGCCTGCAAAAGGCATCAGAGGCATGTGTATGTGTGTATTCCTTTGCAGTGCAGCCTGAAAAATAACAAATAAAAAAAATAACAAATCTGTTGGCACAGGTCTCTTAATGAAAAGTTAACATGGAGGGTAAGGTTTTCTGACTGCTGGATTCTCTAGAGAGGAGGCTGTGCTGAGCTTGTGTAGTCATTGCTTCTGTCTCTTCCTGTTTCTTCTTTGCAGGTTTGCAGTTGCAACACCGGAGGAGCTGGCAGTGAACAACGATGACTGTGCCATTTGCTGGGACTCCATGCAATCCGCACGGAAACTCCCCTGTGGCCACCTCTTCCACAAGTACGTGTGTGCAGGCTGGAGAGCTGCACCCACTGAGAAGGGAAGGGAGAGATGGGCATGGCTGGAATCCACTGTGGGATGTCAAGTAACAAACTAACAGCAGAGCTTATGGGTGCTTGCTGCCTGGGTGGTCTTGGTCTGTTTCTGACGACAAAGTACAAGTCTTTTTCACTCCAGTCATTTTCATGTTTGGGTTGTTCCACCTGGTGCACTTCTTTTCCCCCAAACTAAGAGGGTGTACCTTGTCAGCTAGTGGGTAACCAGAGTTGAGTTGCTCAAACACAGGTCAGTAGATTTGTTGTGTGGAGGTTGTGTTGATTTTCAGGTGAAGAAGAAAAATTAGAGCTGAATTCTTAAATACTTTCCAGGTATCAGCTTTAAGGAGAAGGCAGGGAGTATTTTTATACAGTGCATCCTCACATCCTCACAAATCAGGGAGTATTTTTATAGTGCATCCTCACATGGTGTGAGTCCCCCAGGACGGCTGTGGAGGCCAGGTATGAATCTGTGGTTTCAAGGGGCAATGAGTCCATCAGGGCTGTAAAAGAGGTTAACCAAATCAGCAGAAATGGTCCCTTAGCAGGTGGTAGTTAGAACTGGGAGACTTTTGGCCAAAGAACCTCTCTATACACTGCTTCTTACACTCATTCAGTAGTGAATAGTGGCATATGCTTGTGGATATAGTGTGCTGGGCTGGATGTGACTTTCCTTGGATCTTTTGTAGCAGTGCTTATGTTTCCATGCCTGTGCTTAAATATGAAATGAGAAACAGGGATTGAAGCAGGCATTTCTGGAGGGCCATGTGATGAATATGCAGGTCAGTTAAATTGTCCCTGTGGGTGTTACTTTCTGTAAATAGCATTTTGCTTTTCTGGTAACTGTCAAACCAGAGGTTGTAATCTGTGTGCTAATTTGTTGTCATTTATGACAAACCTTGCCATAAATATTTATCTGTGTTCCAAGAAGTCTCTAATGAGATAATGTGCCTCCATGGCAGAAACTCCTTTTCCAGTGCTACTGAATCGTGTGAATATTTAATCACCTGCTGAGCCCTTGAGAAGCCCAGGGTCTTCTCTTCAGAAAGACATTTTCTCTATATTTAAAAGGATCCTTTTGTATTTTTTTTCTGAAGCAATTACAGTTCTGAATCAAGTTACACTCCTTGGTGCTTTTAGGGAGGGAACATGTTACAGTGGACAGCTTGCATATAAAACCAGATGTAGCTAATAACTCTATTTACAACCTGAGAGTGGTTTCTCTCCTCATAAAAGCCTGGTGATTTTGTCAACAGGTTGAACACTGTGTCCATTCTCAATTACATGGGATTTTTTTTCCTCATGAGTTCTTTGGAGTGGAAGAGAAGGTGGCAGGGAAGATTTGCATGGCTGAGATCAACCCTGTGCCCAAATATTAAGGAAATTTAATGGGAGTAGTTGTCTGAATCTTTTAGGCATGTTGAAACTCTGCTTTACCTTCTAGGAAGCAGGCAAGTTCAAGAGCTGTTGCTCTGAAAGGTTGCCAGCCTTGACCTGCTGTTTGCCCTCCTCCTGAGGTGCTGTGGGTGACCAGGGTGTGACCACAGCTGGCTCTTGGGCTCTGGTGCTGATGCAGCTGACACGGGGTTGTGCCCATTCCAGCATCTTGGCTGTTGAGCTGTGGAGGAGCAGCAGTGTGGTGGCACCTTGGTAAACTGTGTTTTTCCCCAGGGCCCTTTGCAGTACAGCTCAGCAGAGGTGTGAGTTTGCTGTGGGCAGGGAGGTTTTCCAGTGGTCAGGGAGGTGATGTTGGACAGCAGTGCCAGTGCCAGCCTGCTGGTTGTGCTGCTGACCAAGGTGGTGGAAGGTGGCAGTTTTTTACTGTGGTGTTTTGGTTGTTTATGGAAACCCATCCCAGTGTATCCCTCCATTGCAAGGTGATGGAAACCACTTTGGCAAAGTTTCAGGAACATTCAGGACAGAATGCTGGTATCCTTGACTTCACTATAGTCCTGCAATTAGAGCTTTTCTCTTGCTCTGTCAACCAAACCTGTGACCTGTGCCTTCATTTTCTTTGCAAATACACAATTTTGGGAACAGGTTTATTTGATCTTTTTGTATGTCTTTACCTTTCTAAAGTGTTTTGAGAACTTCTGGAAAAAAACCCACCCTGCAAAATGTGAAGTATACAATATTGAGAAGTGTTCAGCCCTGTGAAATTCAGTGAAATTCCACACTGAAAATTAGGTTCAACTTGAACAAATACTGCAGCTGGGTATATCAGCATGAATCAAAAAGCATGCACTGCTTTGAGTGTTTCAACCTGCATTTGAAACACTTCTCACTTTCTGCAGGACAGAAAATTTCAGAATTAAGGAAGCATTGTAAGGGCACAGAATTGTTAGTATTAGTAAATATCTGTGTAGAGGGTTGCTGGAGTGGTGCTGACTTTTGTGGTTTGGGTATTGGTATTTTGAAAAGCTATTTGAAAACACTGGAGGTGCTGTTGCCTCATCACAGGCAGAACTGCTATGAAAATGTGTCAGGATACATTAACTATGTGTCCAGTTGGTTTTTGCCTTTTTCATTTGGGAATGGTGAGAGAAAAGAGCTGGTTTCTTCTCCCTTCCAGGCAGAACTTGCTTGTTCTGAGCTAGAAGGACAGCAAGCTTGGAGAATACTTTAAGCTTGTGATAAATCTGTGTGTATGTTTATAAAAAGTGAACACTTGAGTATTTTCAGCTGAAAGTAATAAGAAACCTATGCCAGAGTCATCAGGAGGGCCATGTGATGAATTAAGCTCATTAAGGGTATCTCTGAGCAGTCCATGTGTTGATGTTGTGTACAGAATATGCTGCAGCTGCCTGATGTGCTGGTGACAGTGGTGTTTTGGAAAAGCACTGCAAGCTCACCCCAGCATTACTGTTTTCCTGTCAGCTCGTGCCTGAGGTCCTGGCTGGAACAAGACACATCCTGCCCCACCTGCAGGATGTCTCTGAATATCACTGACAGCCACCACGTGAGGGAGGATCACCAGAGGGAGAACCTGGATGAGAACCTGGTGCCGGTGGCAGCAGCAGAAGGCAGACCCCGCCTGAACCAGCATAATCACTTCTTCCACTTTGATGGTGAGCTGAGCACACCTGACACCTGCTGCTGGTGCCCTCATGAACCAGGGGAGCAGGAACAGCCTTCTCTAGAAGGGCGTTCTGGAAAGCCTTCTCTAGAAGAGAGCTCTCTCTGTGCTTCAGCTGGAACTCAAACCATGCTCTGCCTGTGTTTGTCAAACACCACTGTGTCTCTGATGGTTCTTTTGCAAGAGCTCTGAGATTTCCCAGAGCTGTGGAGACTTCTTGAAAGATTTTGTACAAGTGCTCCCTTTTCCTGGATTTGTTGTGGTCAGCAGCTTCAGTTACTGCCATTTATTCACTATGTGCCATGTTGACAAGCAGAATGGGAAATTCCTGTGTCTTTTTTTGCTGCCATGTGATGGTTAATCAGCAACAGTCAAAGAGGAGGGAAAAAGCCCTCTGTGGTGTAGTCTAAAAGTCAGTCTTTCCCCTATCACCTAGCTAATGTGTAGTTGTCAAAAGTCCATTTGCCACTCAGTTTACAAGACACTTGCAGTGCTTGGTTTGGTGCAGAAGATTAGTCTCAGAAGGAATCATGTAGCCACAACAGTTTAAAATATTTGGGGTTTTTAGTAGTGTGTTGTAAGTACTCTCAAAGCAGATGTGATTCCAGGCCACAATAAGTTCTGTATATGGAGACAACTTGTTTTGAAAAAGGCAATTTATGTCATTTGTCTTCCAGATTTTTCTTAGAAGTTTGGTATTGGTGAGTGCTGTTTTCGACAGTCTCCCAGATTTTGATGACACTCGTGGTGTTTCTCAAATGATTTCAGTAGTGCAAATATTGAACTTTGGGCTCTGCCCTTGTGGAGCTCCTATGAGGCAGCTGAAATGCTCACTGCAAGCTTACACATTGACCTGTTCCTCATCTGTGCTTGTTTTGAAATCTTTGGAGATTGGAGGGGGAGAATCGTGGGCAGAGAAGGGTCAGACAATTTCTAGGTACATGGAAACTGGCTGATAGCTTCTGCATGTCTTCCACTTGTGGGGTGCTTTAGGTCTCCAAAGGACATTTATATTTAGAATAACACAATATTTTTGATGATTGTCCTCCCCAGTGCTCTCCAGTGTCTTGGAGACCTGCAGTATTACCATGGAGATAGAAGGAGAAGTGGCATAGAGCAAAGCCTGAGTTTATTTAATTGGCAGCACAGAAGGAGGAGGGAGCCACCCATGTGCCCTACTCTGTTGAGCTGAAGCACACAATTGCAGCAGTCTCTTTGTTCAGTTACTCTGTGTCCCTTTGAAGTGGTATTTCTCAGTGATGACCCATTTTGGGCCTGGATTCAGATTTCTTAGAAGCTGTCCTGTTTTTGTAAAATTGCTGGATTTATTCATATATTCCAGAGCTGGATTTGACTCTGGATTATTTTAATTTTCACTTGAATAGGAACATTAAAAAAGAAAACAAGGATGTGTTACTTCCTTGATCCCTTTGCAGCCCCCAGACTGTTACAGCATTATGACAGTGTTTTTGAGGAGAGTATGGGCAGTTTCTGATTCACTGCAGCCATCTCCATGTCTGGGAGACCTTAGGACAGATTGCACTGCAGAACTCCCTGCACATACCTTGTGGAATATAAAGAATTATGTTAAATACATGTAGAAGTACTTGGCCTGCTGAGATTCTCATGCTCTTTCTTTACTTTCTTGGTGATTTCTTCCTCCCAGGCTCTCGAATTGCCAGCTGGCTGCCCAGTTTCTCTGTGGAAGTGATGCACACAACCAACATCCTTGGAATTGCACAAGCCAGCAACTCCCAGCTCAATGTTATGGTGAGACTGCACCTCAGCTTTCCTGTTTGTGTTGTGTAGGGGAAAGGGTTACATAAAAATGGAGAACATAAAGGGGAAGGAAGTCAAAACAGTGGTTAGACACTAGGTGAAAGCTGTTTTTCTGAGTGAGAGAAGCTTTACTTCAGTGAAGTTAGGCCTATATTTGGGTTCAGATGTAAAAGAACAGGTCTGGAGGTAAGTGAATGAGGTAGAAGAATGACCTGTACTTCCTGGGTAGATGAGTAGACTTTTTTTCAGCTTGCTTAGTGCAACTTCTTCAGCTCTTTTTCAGTATTTCTGTGCCAACTTGCAGCACCAAAGGGTGTGAGTCTGTAACCAGAGAATTTAGCTGTTGGTCAAGTAGTAACTGATCAAACCATTCTATAGGTTTTGATTTGTTTTTTTAATCTTTAATAGCACAAAGCTTCAAGATAGCAATTTCAGTGTCTTGTCAGTGTGAGGTGGGCTCTCTAGCACCCTCAGCTTTTGCTGGTTCATGATGATGATAGAAGTGTAGAGGACGAAATTCCATATTTGTTGAATTCATGCATAAAAACTCTAATGTAGTACAAAAAGAAAAGGATGTGGTCTCATGAAACACTTCATTTTTTTGAGAAGTGCTATTTCCTTTGAGTTCTTCAACCTACTGTGTTCTATACCACGGAAATAAATGTTCCCTGAAGTGTCTCATGAAAGTGATTGAATTTTCTGAATATTAGGTCTTTCCCACCCATAGCCTATACTTCTGTTTGAACATCAGCAGGGTAAGGCCACTATTTTTAGGGTCTTTGAGGCAGAGAGGGATCAAAAGATGCTGGCAGATAATTTATTAGTTAAATATGCTGGAACTCTCCATTTGAGGTCAGTTTAATTTTTCTTTTACTGGACACAGTGACACAAATAGGCTTTTGTTAAAGATGAGTAATGATTTTGTTAGGATTATGTATTATCAAAAGTACAGTAGCAACTTATATTAAAATGTCTACTTTAATGGAAAGCTGGTTAAATATTAGCAAATTATAAAAGTGTTACACATTTTTAATAGAAAACAAGTGACATTTTCCTTTGTGTTACTGAATAAAACCCTCGGGAAGTATTTTGAGGGGAAAGCCAGAGGCTGAAATGCTAAATGAGTTGGTTTGGTCACAGGTTAATACAGTGGAGGGTTATGTTTGCAGTAGTTGCTTGTGTTGGAACTCACTGTCAGTTGGTGCATAGTTTTTGCTTTGTTCTCAGAATTCCTTCCACCTTTCTTTTCTTATTGTATTCTGATTCCCCTTTGCCCCCCCATGACTTTGGGCAATAGTGAAAATAGACATTTAAATATTAAATGAAATCCAGTTGTTGGACTCTGGAAGCATATTATTTGTCTTACCTTTACTTATTTAATTTGGATAATATTTAACTAACTTGAAATTCAGTCATTTTCATTCAATTCACAGTTCCCTGACAACTCAGTTTACTTTAATTGAGTTTTCAGACCCTATTCAACTGGTTTGTAGGGAGGGTGGCTGGAGGCAGCGGGTTATTGAAACTTCCTCCACTTGTCATTGTCAGTACCATTTTGGAACCAATATGGCAAAAATCAAAATAGTTTTTTTTCTTCCCAGGGTTGATCTAACTTTCAGTCACCCATGAGTTTTGTAGAGACCTTTATTAAAAAGGCTGTCATAAGAAGAGGGTTGGGAAGCTTTTGAAACCTTTGTGCATCTACAGGCACTGTTCAGGGCCATGTGGTGTCTCCTCAGGAGCTGCAGTTTGGGTGTTGACTTCAGTGGGGGCAGCATATTGCCCTGCAAGTCACAACCAGCATGGGTTTCCTTTCTCTTTTCTTTCTCTCTGTGGATTTGTGTATCATAAGCAGCATCTTTGAGCTGGTAATATTTTTAATCTCCTTCTGTTGACATACTTATCAACTGACTTCTATTTACTGCTGATACTGACTGTATTGCTTTCTGCAGGCCCATCAGATTCAGGAGATGTTCCCTCAGGTCCCTTATCATTTAGTCCTGCAGGATCTGCAGCTAACTCGTTCTGTGGAGATCACCACTGACAACATCCTGGAAGGGCGCATCCAGGTGCCGTTCCCCACACAGGTGAGTCACGAACTGTGCACCTAAAATTACTTTCTTTCTTTCTTATCACAGCACTGAGCCTCCTAGTAATGACTGAGGGGAATGAAACGAGTTGAAGCACAGGTGAATCAGTGGGATTTGTTTTTCCCTTTGTTTAAATCTCTGTAAATGCTGTGTATTCAGTCATGTACCAAAAATATATTGAAAATGTCCTAGCTAGACAAGAGACAAATATTTGCTCAGTTAAAACAGCTCTTCCCAGTCTCTCTTGTGCAGAGCTTTTAGAACATTTCCAGTTGATTTCTCTGCTGACAGATAATTGAATTGTACCACTTAGGAAGATTTTTTGCAAAGAAAGTTGGCAAAATGATGCCTTGTTCTTAATTAGTGCCAGCAGATTTCAGTAAAGCAGTCTGGGGACAGTGTTTCTGTTAATAAGAATATTGAATTCTGGTTCTGTGCACATCAGATAGTACTGTTATCTGGAGTCTGTGTGTGGGGAAGCAGAGACAATTCTCTCTCAACACAGAGCATTCTGTTTATTGCTAACTTATCTGTTTCTAAATTGAACACAATGCCTGACATTGCAGAGGGCAGAGTTTGAAGTGTTCAAATAGCTCAGGTTTTTTTGCTCTTTCCCACACTGTATTAAACCCATGATGTTTGCATTTCAGCGTGCAGACAGCATTAGACCTGCATTGAACAACCCTGTGGAAAGGCACAGTACTGATCAGGAGGATACTGGAACTGTCACACAGGTAAATTGGCATAAAAATGGGCAGAAAGCACAATTAGAAGCTGCATGGGCTGGTAGGTGCCTTTGGTTCTGTAATCAGGTCAGGTTGGTGGCAACCCTTCCTTGCATTTCACATCAGAGCTAACACAGTCAGGCAGATAAATCAGATATGAATATAGTGCCCCTGTAAAGGATTATCTGTGTGCTTTTCTTTTTCTTCCTTGAGGGAAAGTGCTCTCAAATGGTACAAAGAACAGAGGATCATCATGTCTCTTTTCATGTCTGGTCAGCCCATGCCTGTCTGTGGAATATGAAGAGCAGGTAGCTTTGCTCTTCCCCTTTTTCTTCTCATTCCCATTCTATACATCTCCAAACACTTCCATTAAAAGGAGGAGTATTTACTTTTTGAGTATAAGAATTCTTTTGTGTTCTGGAGGAAGCACTTTAGGACATGAGGAGCTTTGGTGGGAATGGAGTGAGATATGAACTGGACCAAGAGATAACAGCCCTTCTGTATGCAAAGCACAATAATGGGTTTTGCTGTTCTTTGCTAAGGCCTTTACTAAGCAGCATGTGCTAGCTACATTGTGGCAGGGAAAGAAAATTACCCTGTGAGTAAAGTAAGACCTCATTTCACTTTTGTTTTCCTGGCTGTAATAGTGACATCCTGAGGGGTTCTGTTTTATAAATCTCCCTTTCTACTTGCTGAGTAAATTTGTGAGGTGTGTGACTTTCTCTGCAGCCTTTAGTGACTTGAAGAGCCAACCTGTTACTACCTGGAATTCAACTGTAGCAGTTCCTTTGTTAGCAGGTTGCAAGACAAAAGATCCTTTGATTTGGTGTGATTCTGCAGTTGAGGCTGAGGAAGAGGTGGTAGTGATGGTACAGATATTTGGTATGAGCCTGAGGTAGCAGCTACAGAACTGCAGGAATGAAAATCTTGGTCTGGATCAAGCATTTTTGGGTTTTGAATCTTTGTAACCTTATGAAAAACCCCCAAACCTTAGGTGAGCCAACTTGCATCTTCTGACACAAATGGCCCAGGGGGACAAAGGAGTGATCTTGTCTGAACATTGACAGAGTGGCCTCTGAGTGGCCACTCAGAGTGGCCTCACTGCTTCCCCCAGCAGAGTTTCCCTTTTCCCTTCCCCCCTGTGTGGCAATTGGAAGCAGCAATTGAGTTGCTCTGTACCTGCTCCATGGGTCTGCCAAGGTCATCTTGGTCCCCAGCACAATCCATGGGATCATTCCATGGGGCTCTCCCTCCCTCCTCAGGGATGTGGCAGTGCTTTGAGGCAGTCCAGTGGTTGCCTCTGTGTCATCCCAGTGCATTTGTGTGCACTTTGGTAAATTGCAGCAGTGGTGGTTTTGCTGAGAGAGGCTGAACACCCACACTTCTGTTTGAGGTTGCAGTGTCTGTACTGTGCTGATTTGGGCTCTGGGACTCCTGCTTGGCTCACCTACCTAATGGGAAGTGACATTTGTCTCGGTGTTTGCTCTCTGAAGTTGTTGTGTTAGGGAGATGGCCTTACTGGCCTGTCTCTAGGGCTTTGGCATGACTCAACTTGTTTTGCACCTCAGCTGCCTGAGCCTGTGTGCTGTACTGTGATGCTGCCACGTCTGGGCTGTTGGGGCTGGAGCAGCAGTCCCAGGGAATCGGCAGCTCTGCCAAAGGCCCCAAACCGGGCAGTAGGAGCTGCCTTGGAGCATCCCACTGGCTTGAGTCATCCTCTGGTTACCAAATGATGGCTACAGCCTTCAGTGCTTTCCTGGGGTGATTTGTTTCTTGATGCCACCACTCCTGGCTCTGGCCGTGGCTGTGCATCTCCGCATCGGGGGCTGATCTGATGGTGTGTGGCAGGGTGTGATCAGGATGTGCTGTTTCCCCTCTGCTGTGCACCCACACCATCACCCAGCAGCTCACTTTTTGGGTTAGTGTTATCAGCTGGCTGTCAGGGGGGAGAGGTGCCATGTGGGGGCTGCCATTTCCTCTCTTGGCACACTGTGCTGGGGACAGTTGCCAGCCTTGCTCCAGCAGTCTAAACCAGGATGATTTGGGTGCTGCAGAACCCAGTGAACCAAAGCCTCATAAATTCCCTTCTTGAGCACAAATTATCTTTGCAAATACATTTGTTATTCTTTCCTTAGTATGTGGATTTCGGCTTTTTCAACTCTTTACTGTTGCATCACTTGTCAAGTCAGCTGCAGAATCTGACTTTCAAATGCCCCATTTTCAGAGAGCATTAATTATGAGTAATTAATGTTTGTCTTTGACATTACTTTCAAACATGGCATAAAAGATACAGCGTTATAGGATACAGGATCTTTGAGCATGGTTTGAAATAGCTTTGTTCTGTTTTTTGGCTGGATTTTTCAAAGGAACCCGAAGGAATTGGGTACAGCAGGTGAGACTGGTTTCTTCCAGTGCCTCAGAAAATGACAATTCTTTGTAGCTTCTTGTTTTGATGCAAAGAAGCCCAAATTTTGCAAAGATGTATGCTTTATTTCCTTTTCTCTTAGACTGAGAGAGTGCCTCTTGAACTGAACTCTAGACTGGAAGAAATGGTGGAATTCAACGAGATGGAAGCAGAACCTAATGAAGCAGAAGATTTTGAGGCCAGGGGAAGTCGCTTTTCCAAGTCAGCCGATGAGAGGCAGCGAATGCTGGTTCAGCGGAAGGAGGACTTGTTGCAACAAGCTCGAAAGTATGTTCCTTCCTAAAACTCCACTCTGGCCACTCAGAGTCCCCCAGAATGGGTTTCAAATGGGTTTGGACCACTGAGAGCCTGGGTTGATGTGAAAAGTAGTAAGAGGAATGAATACATCTGCCACAGCAGGCTCAGGATGCTGTACTGCTAAACCCAGCTCAGAAATAGCATCACGTGTCCCAACATGCACACAGCTTCCTGTGCAGTTCATCCAAAGCTCTTTGAAATCAAAGGCTGATTTTTCCAGCTTCAGTGGGCTTTAGTCTAAGAATGTACTGAGAACTGGTTACTTGGGTTGAATCCTTTAGCAATCTTTAGTTTGGCTCCTGGCACAGGTGTCAGCCCTCACTGCCTGTGCTCTTACAGCTGAAATTCCTGTCAGGCACCACTTTTTCCAGATACAGAGCCCAGAGCAGTGCAGATCTGACAGGTGACCCTTACTAGATCTCACCAGAGGTGCTCAGCACCAGCCAGTCATCACTGCTGAAGAGAGAGGGACCAACTTGAACTGTTTCTTTTAGCCCAACCAGTAATAGCTGTTACAGGTAGAATCCAACTCTTTTACTGGCATTCCAGTTATGTTGGTAGACTTTATTAGCATCCAGTTGCTGATTAAGCAGAAAAGGAAAAGCACTTTAGTGATGTAGAAAAAACTGCAGTGTTTTTATCAAGTATTTTCCCTTCCTTTGTATTGCAGGGACACAGGTTCTGGGTCCTTTGGTGTTGTCAGGCTACTGCTGCTCTTTTTCTTTTCCACACTGAAATGCCTTATAAATACCTGGGAGTGTGACACCATTTATAAATCTATAAACAGACTTACTCTTAGACTTAATTTTTCCTTGATTGAAAAAATGTCTTTTAGGAAGACAGAGTATTTTTGACTTTCTGGTTTACTGGTTTGAAGAGCTGTTGAATTTCAAACTCCTGGTTTTTTGCCATTAAAGTGTAAAAATTCACTGGGATGTTAACTCTGGCAGCAACTTCCTTGCCCTCTGGCCTTAGAGTGTGCAGCCCCTAGTGCCCCCTCTGTCACTGGCTTACCTGCTGCCATCGGGGAGTGCCTTGTTGTGGTAGGCAGTGCCAGAGGCTGAGGAGTGGAGTAACAGGAACAGAGGGAGTCAGTAACTCACCTGCTGTGAATTGCTCTGAGCTGAGGACAGCCCTGACCTTTAGAACTGGCTCCTTCCCAAAGGCACAAAGATCTTGTACAAAACCTAAGAGCTTCTGCCAACTCTGCAGAGCCTGTTGTAGATGATCTGGGCTTTTTTAGGAGCACATAACCTGCGTGCACTTTTATTGAGGCATTTTCCTCCAGCCCTCCCGACTGCAGCAATGCATTTCTCAGAGCCAGAACCAGGTGGGTTGGTGGGTTCTGCTCACTCATCTTTTCCTTTATTCCCTCAGGCGTTACTTGAACAAAACCTCCGATGAGGAGCTGAGCACAGAGAAGCCTTTGCCCGAGGGAGCGGCGGCCGACGCCGCCACCCTGCGCCGCAGGACCCTGGCTGCCGCCGCAGAACGGAGACTTCAGATGCAGCAAAACTCTTAGCGCTCGCTGCCCCTCCTCCTCCTCCTCGTGAGCAACGTTGAATAAATAAATTACATACAAAAAACCCTGCGCTTTCTATACCAGCAAGAAAGTGTCTCTTCAGAGTTCAGCTGGCTGTGCTGCCGAGTGAGCTGGCTGCCTCTCTGCTGTATAAAGCATGTGGTCTAATAATGTTTGGACAGCTGACAAATTAACCTTTTTTGTAATATTTTCTATGTGACGTTGATCCTCTACACAACAAAAGGCAATTTCTAAACCACGGGCATGACTTCTGCAGCTGGCATGTGCTATGGGGCTGGATGGCACAGCAGAGGCTGGGGAAGTGTGTTCTGAGGTAGCTGTGGGTGCAGGTCACGAAGTGCATGGGCACATTCTGCTCCAGATCAGGGCCAGTTACTCCGAGGAAGGAAGCTTGCAGCAAGCCCTATGTTAGATGAGCAGGCTCCTCAGTCCCTGTTCCTTCAGCAGCCAAGGTGTTACGTAGGGCAGCTTGAAGGGCTGGGGGAGCCTCGCTGGGAGGTTCTTACACTGGATGAAGTTGTCTGGCTACACAACACAGAAAAACCTGAATTCATGAATTGTGCAGCAAAGCGACGATTCCCGCATAAAATAGTTCGCTGTTGCTGGGCTCTTCTGCACTGGCAGAGGTTTGGCTCTGTCCATCCCCAGGGCTGCTGCTTTGCCTTTATGTCCAGGAACAAGCGAGGGATGGAGGGGGATGGAGTGAAGAAGAGGGACCTAAGGCGAGGTCACAGTGTTGCTGTGAGCCGAGGGAGTCACAACCTGCCTGTCCTGGACTCCAGCGCCACAGGGATGGGACGGTGCAAAGATCGCTCCGTTATCTTGCTTTTTATTTCATTTTTAACCCCACAACCTCACTCTGAGTTTATTCAGAAAGACTGGAGGAACGGGGGCAGCTGGACCTTTGCTGGCTGCAGCCCAACCTGCTAGCCTGGATTTTTTAAAGAACTTTTGAGATCCCCTTGGCACCGCCGCCGCTAGCTTACCTAGTTGAATTTTACATGGCAGTGACTTAATTTTTAAACTTCTGGAGAGTGAGTTCTAGTTTCACCGTCCTTTAGAAGGAGCCCAGTATTATCTAGAATTGTTGGTAATTTTTTTACTGTTGGTTTTTAGGTGAAGGTGAATTTAATGAGAGGAATTGCATCGATGTTTAGGTGAAAATAATTTATTTCAATAAAACTCTTTGGGAAGCCTTACCTTGCAATGCTATTAGTAAACCTCAAAAAATTTTTTTGAGATCTTTGGTTTTGCTTTGAACACAGCTGTTTTGTTTTTACTGTTTAAAAAAAAACCCAACAAAACAAAAATAAAACCTTGATCAGTGTTGGAATTGTTTGTAAATTTCTGTAGTGTGATTTCTCATGTTTTCTCATGGTGTTTCAGAGACTCGAGCTGTTCTTTCCAGGCTTCTGTTGCTCTCCTGACTTTTCCCGGCAGCTCCCAGAGGAGTGGACCCTGGCCAGCCGCTGGATGGCACCTTTGCCTGCGGCAGCGCTGCACAGTGACCTACTTGAGCCGTGAAAGGCTGGTTTGTGCTCAGGAGCACAGGACCGGTGCTGGCCTCTTGGCTGGCTCTGCCTCCCTGCGAAGGGAGGTCATCTGAGGCGAGGCCTGATCGACTTTCCCAGTGCCAGCATACGCTTCTGGTGGCTGTAAACAGCAGGAGCCTTGGAAAAGCCGTGTTGGTCAGGAGCTGCTGCTGCTGCTGCTGCTGCTCTCTGCCAAGCACCCCTCCCTCCTTCTTCCCCTTCCTCCCCGGGGCTGGGCAGGGGACACGCCGGGTGGCACGGGGGGTCACCTCGCCTATGGCTCCATCCCGGGTCCCGTGGGGTGTGGAAGCGTTCCCGTGGTACAGGAAGGGATGGATGTCAGGTGTGGTGCCCAGAGCCAGCCCCGTGCCAGCGCTGTGCCCAGGGGCTCTCCAGGAGTCCCACCTGTGGTCACGGTGACCAGTGCTGTCAGGCACAGGAGCTGGGGAGCTGGGATGAAGGAGAGTGCAAGAAAAACCCCAACTGGGAAAAGAACCCCAACCCCTCAAAGATCCAAACAAACCCCGAATCTCCCTGAGCAGCTGGGAGAAAACCTCAACTTTCTTGGGAAACCTTCCACTTTCAGGGAGAAAAACTTGAATATTGTGGGATTTATGTTGCCATAAATGAAGGACTCACCCTGGTGATTAGCTTTGCATTCCCTAAAGAAGTAAAAATCTTTTCTTGCCTGGGGGCACTTTTGCTTTGGAAGCAACAGAGAGCTTCCACCCATGGCTTTCTTAAGATTTACACCCATTCTATATTTACACCAATCCATAGTTCCCTTCTCCCTCTGCTACCAGCAGCAAATCCCCCCCAAAATGTGATTTTTGGTATTTTTTCTTCCTCTCTTTGGAAGGAGGCAGGCAGGCGTGGGGGAAAGAAGGAGGCGGAGGCGTGGGAGGGAGAGCCCGGGGTACAGACAAACATTCTCTTTATTGAGCTACACATGAATTTTTCCATTAGTCAGAGAAAGAGATTGGCAGTGTGTAATATATCACAGAAACCTCACTGATTGGTAATAGAAAGGCTTAGAAAGACCTGGCGCTTTTTATATATATATATATATAATATCTTTTTTTAAGTTTCCTCTTTATTTATTCATTTTCTTTTGAACAGGTGTGACTGCTCTTCTTCAGCAAAGGTAACTCGTAAAAGTGAAACTGTGAAGACGTCTGGTTACTAATCAAAGTAGAAATGACAAGGGGTTGGTCATGAAAACAGTGGCTTCAATGTAAACACTACATTCGATTTTTCTTGTTTTTTATTATTTTTTAAGTTATTTTTTTGTGGTTTTGTGTGTGTTTTTTAAAATTTTTAAATTATTTTCATTCTTGCCTTTTTTTTTTAAGTTTGCTTTTTAAAGTTTTTTTTCTTTTTTTTTTCCCCTTTTTTCTTATTTTGCAGCACAAACATCCCCACATGAGAGAGAAAACACCATTCACTAAAAGGGAGAGAGGACTGGGGCAGGAGAGGGGGAGAGAAAAGCAGCACAAAAAAGCATTCACTGGAAAGAGGTGAAAATAATAACAAAACGAAAACAAAAAAATACTCTAAACAAAAAATAAAATAAACCAAAATATATATATATTTGTATAGCCCTCCCTGATGTCCCTGGTCGGCCCTGAAGGAGGGATGAGGGGGACTGTGGCTGGGGGGGCCGAGCTGTGCTTTTGGATACGGACCTGGAGAGTGAGCAGTGACCGGGAGCAGGGAGCTGCTAAACCAGGAGGGAAAAAATGGGAAAAACCCGACGGCTCGGGCTGGTGAGGGCTTTGGCCTGAATTGGGGTGGGAATTCAGAAAATCCAACCTGAAACCCTGGGAAGGGAGCAGGAGGAGGATGCCCCACTGCAGCCTTCCCCCCGAACAGTCACGGTGGGAAATGGGAGAAGATCTGCTTGTTGTTTCCTTTTTTAGCTGTGACATGTGGCCGGGGGCAGTTTCCAATTTTTTCCCTCCTTCTTCAAAAAAAAAAAAAAAAAAAAGAAAAGAAAAAAAATAAAGAAAAGAAAAATATTTTTGTTTCTGAAGGTGGCAGCGGGGCCGGGGACAGGTAGGGGTAGGGGCAGCCCGGCCTTGCCCATGCTGGAAAAAAAATTAATCAAAATAATAATAATTTTAAAAAGCCAACCCACAACAATGAATTATAATAATGATAATTAAATATAGCAGCCCATGGTCAAATAACTGCTGGGAGGGGAACCGGCGTGCCCCCGGGCGCTGCCCTTTCCCCTTTCCCTGCCGGTACGGGGGAGCTGTGGGATGGTGGGGCCGGGCAGAGCCCCACAGGCCAGGGGCGCCCTCAGGCTGGGACACCGCGGGCCGGAGGGAGGAGCCTGCTGGGACAAGGCGGTTCGAAAAACAAACTAAAAAGGTGGGTGTGGATTTTTTATATATATATATACGTATATATATAATTTTTCCTTATGCCTTTTTATTTACCAACTCGCATGATTATGATGACTTTTTTTTTCTCTCCTTCAATCTGTTTTTTTCATTTCTTTTTTTTAATCTTTTTTTTTTTTCCCCGCGCGTGTGTGTGTCTGTGTGTCTGTGTGTGGTTGCTTTGGGGTTGTTTTTTTTTTCCCGTTATTTTTATGTTTCTTTTCTCTCCTGGCGGCGGGATCGCCACCCAAGCAGTCGCTGAGCGCCGCGCGGGGTCAGTACAAGCCGCAGCCCCGCAGGTTGTTGGCAATGATGATGTCGGTGACGGCGTCAAAAACCACCTGGATGTTGTTCGTGTCTGTGGCACACGTCATGTGGCAGTAAATCTCCTTGTTAGGGGAGCGGTTTTTGCTCTCGAATTGTGCTTGGATGTAGGCGGCCGCATCCTCGTAGGTGTTGGGACCTGCGGGCAGAGCGGGGTCAGGCCTGAGGGCCGCGTCCCTCCCTCCCGGCACACCCGCCCCCACGCTGCTCGCGGGGAGCTTTCATTGGAACAGAAACGGGCAAAATTATTCATTTTCACCCACCCTCCCCTTCACCCCTTAACAGGGTCCGTTTTCCCCCCATCTCCGTCCTTCCCACCGCCATTACCCTTCTGCTCCCCCTCTCCCCCATTTTCCCTGAAAACATCACACCCAAGCCCTGTGGAGGGCTCCTCCTTCCCCAGGTGTTGCTGCTCTGCCCTCTCCCCTTTCCCCCCGGGCAGGGCAGGGCAGGGCAGGGTCCCCCCGGGCAGGGCAGGGTTCCCCAGCTGTGCCCAGTTGGCCGAGCCTGAGGGATGTCCCCGTACAGGGGAACCCCACAAGTCCTCCCGGCCCGGGGGGGAAATGTCCTAGTGGCCCCTCAGCCAGACAGGGGCAGGGATGGCCAGGAGAGCTGGTGGCCACCCCAGCATCACCCATGGACACCAGCTGTACCCCCTCGGTGGGGCTGAGCCCCCGTGTGCCCCGCCTGGGCTGGCTGAAGGGCTCACCCTGGCACTGGGGTGGTGCTGGTGGCCCAGGAGCCGTGTGGGGACACACGTGTTGTGGCTGGGAAACCTCCCAGTTTTTGCTTTGGGAAGGTGGGCTGGAGAGGCGCCAGATGTTTGAGCCGAAAAATGTGCATTATTGCCTTAAGCTGCTTAGGGCAGCGGGAGAGGCTGCGCTGGCCCCTCGCGGGAAGCCACAAAGCTGAGTTACGCCCCTGAAATCGCCTTTGCGAGAGCTGCTATTATCTGGAGATTTATTTTCCTTTCCCAGCTCGCTGGTTCCCCTCGTTCCTGATGCAGTGGGTGGCCGAAGGAGAGGGAGGCTGGGCTGCTGCCACCGGGCTGTGCCCCTCCATGGGGTGGCCTGGCTGTGCCATACAGCTGCACGTGGGACAGTCTGGATTGTTCTACCAGGTGAGGAAATGCTGGTGCCTTCGG